GTCTTCATCAGAATCAAAGTGAACAAAGCTATTAGGCAAGTAGATATATTCAACCTAAACCAGTTGTACAATTGTCATTGGATGATTGATGAAACAGTGTTTAAAATCTGTTAGATGATGAATCCACAGGTGGAGTTTAGATAGTCAGTGTCCAGCATCATGTCAGAAACAAAAGAATGCAGACCTGTCTTAAAGTTCCAAGATTGTGCAGCCGTGTCTAGGTGCCTTTGTGACTGCTCCGCGAAGGCTGTATGTCTTCTTTTTAAAAAATATTATTTTCGCTTTTGTACTGCCATCTTTTTCAAGTAGAATAACATGTGACTGTAGCACACTTTGCAAGTTGGCTCGGTGGTTAGCACTGTCGCCTCGCAGCTATAAGGTCGCTGGTTCGTGTTCCGGTGAGGACACCTGGGATCTTTCTGCGTGGAGTCTCCATGTTCTCCCCGTGCAGCGTGGGTTCTCTCCAGGTTCTCCGGCTTCCTCTCACAATCCAGAAACGTGTTGAGGTTAATTGGTGATTCTAAATTGTCCGTAGGTGTGAATGTGAGTGTGCTTGGTTGTTTGTCTCTAAGTGCAGCCCTGTGATAGACTGGTGACCTGTCCAGGTGAACCTGCCTTCACCCTGAGTCAGCTGGGATAGACTCCAGTCCCCCCATGACCCCAGTGAGGATTGAGCGGTGTATAGATAATGGACAGATGGATGGACAAAAGTAAAAATATCTTGAAATATTCTTCAATAACACCTTAAGATAGAAATTTTTGTTTTCGAAGTATTTCAAGGAGTGCCCTATAAAGGGTTAAAAGTTCCCACTTCAGTCTGTATGGTGTGGTGTAGTGTTGTAGTACTCGAAGATCTCGGTCTTGTCGTGGACTCGACCGCATTTTTACCTGGTATTGTCTTGGTCTCGGGCGCAGAGGACTCAGGAGTTTACTGCGAGACCAGCCGAGACCATGACTGCAAGGACTACACTAAACTGCCTCTGAACTGTCTTATTTGTTTAGTAATAGCTTTGTTGTGATTGGATCCAAAAGTCTCTGCTTCGAATGTAAGCACTTTATTTATTTATAACAATTTAACAGATTTTTAATTTGGATTATTTTTTGGGCTGTGGCCTGCCACCCCACCCCGCCCCTCTTCACATGCACTCCACTACAGTAAATGTGGGAGACGGCAGAAGGAGTCTGCTCCCTGGGAAAGATGTTAGCTAACTGTGCTGTAATAAAATTTGGCTTTTCTAACCACAATTTATCTGTAAATCGATGTCAAAAAGAAAACACAGCGCTATATGCAAATTCTGCATCACAACACTCACTGAGGCGGCTGGGACCACATCAAACTTTTGTCAACACTTGGAGAGGAAGCATAAGGTAAAACTAACTCTACATGGCACTAGCGAAGTGAGCTAAACAAATTTAGCAAACTGTAGTTTGTAAAAAAAAATATATAAATACAGTTGTGACTCAATAATCTGATGCTAAATTTAAAACCTTCTTTTATGTCGGATAGCAAGGCTGTCGGATTGTCAAGAAGGAGGTCGAGATACAAGGAGGGCTTGATGCTTGAAGGCTCATTTGTTGTTAATATGTGTTGTTCATAGTTGTTATAATAACTAGTGTATTGTTAGAACACTACGCATCGCTGGATTTCACGCCTAACTGACCGGTGCACTTGTGCACGGGCCGTTGGTTGGCAGCAAAGGTAAGTGGTCCTAAATCCGACATGTATCTTTATATCTTTTGCCATGTGACTTCTGTCTGAACGGCCAGGTTGCACTTATCTGACCTACATCTCATTGATACACGACAAACTAGGGCTGGTCCGAATAGCACTTTATGGTCTCTGGCTATTCAGGCCCAATTACTGATGAATATCAGAGTATTTGGCGCGGACAGGGAGACACTTCCACCCCGGGAGAGCGCCCCGACGGGGTTGAAGTGGCCAGAACGTACAGGCAGTACTTGGCTGCTGATGCCAGTTTAGTTAGTGGTCACAGTTCTGTTTCCACCATCTGTGGCAGTGGCAGCAGTGGCAGCACCATTTTCCCGCCACCGCCACCACCATCTGTGTTTACTTCCGTAAACACTGAGCATGCTCGCTGCGTGTGACGTCGTTGTGTCCTCTTCAGTGCATGCGGGACACTTTTGGGTCGTATGAAGTTCACACAGCAGATCACATACAAGTCGTATTTAATTGGAAATGTGAATGAACTCACAAAAAAAACGGATTTCATAAAAAATCTGAATTGAGCATTAAGTCCTGCTGTCTGAACATAGCTGATCTGTCGGATTGTTCAGTCAGATAATACACCGTTTTCCTGATTGGTGACATAAAATTTTGTGTCAGAGTCGGAATCCAAGGCTGTCGGTACGTTAAGGCTGTTTTTATGGGTTCTGT